TGACTCGTCGGTAATATTCAGTTGGCTAATGTTTAACCCCGTTAGCTCCGCTCTGTTCGGCTCCGCCAATCGCGGACCCGTCTTCGCTGTAACCATATATATATCCCACTTGTACATAGGTTACACTCCAGTAATAAAATCAACTAGAGTTACCCCCCCAAAGTTCTGATTGCCAGTCAGTAAGTTAGGGCACAGACGTGTCACTAGGCACAGTGCTCTTGGCAGAAGTCGCTGAGGCCAAAGCCCTCTGCTACGGAGACACTCTTTCGTCTCGAATCCGGTCTCTGACAGCGGCGCTGGAAACGGTTCTGGCATGAATAGCAAGATCCAAATCAACTCACACCCAGCTAGGATTGAGTACAGCGGATCTGATGACCGCAAAAAGGTGAGCAACTTCATACCCGTGAGTTTTTCACGAATCATGAAATGGGACATCTTCGTTGGGATTCAGTATCTCAGGAGAAAGTAGATACAGACTAAGAATCCATCATACATACATAGACTCCACTAGTCAGTCAAATCTTGTTCTTGTTCATCATCCATCACTAATGGGAAGTCCGTGTGATCGATTTCGAGCTCAGAATAATTAACGGGAAATGTTGTGGCCACTTTAGCAGCTCAGCACCGCAGTTCATGAATGAGGTCCGGATCCAGGCTTCTCCAGGTAGGCTGCCAATGCGGTGTCGATGGAGGAAGGGAAAGGATCTGTTGTTTCACCCTATCCCAAAAATTGTCGATGTTCATGTCTTTCGGTGCAGCATCAAGTCCGATGTGTATAGCTTGAATGTCAGCCATGGTCCAAACCCCACAATCATACCCATTCCATCGGCATGGTTCCGTCTGGGGCTTTTAATATATATGATGTTCATGATTCAGCGAGATGCACACCTACAGTGACTGCTCAAGTGGACCAATTGGACCAGTTGTATCCATGCTCATCATCAGGGTGGATGAACGACCAGGTGGCATTGACTAGTCCTGTCATGACCGACAAATCCCGGGGCTCCGTCAGCAGCGAACCAATGCCAATAGGCGAATCTGCCAACCCGAAACCCATCCTAACCAGCCCCCAACCTGATGTCTGGCCCCCTGCCTTATCGCGTGAGACTTGGCCAACAATCAGAACCTAGACCCTGCCGGCATCCCGACCTTACCTCCAGTTCCCGAGCCCTTGGTGCTCCCAGCATTCAGTCTCTCCAGTTCCTATGCTTGCCTTGTCTCCATCTGGACCTCACTCATTGCTTCCCGCTATGTGGTCACAGCCATGCCCCGCTTCCGTGCATTCTGCACCCTCTGCCCACTCTGCACCCTCTGGCCACTTCTGGTTGCCCTTGACAGCTCTGGTCAGGTCAACACTCCCACTCCCCTCTGTACCTCTGTTGGCCTTCATGCTGTCCTTGTGTGACAGTGCTGGCAGATCAACCTCTGTTCGTGGACTTGTGTCGGCACCGCACTGACCCCGCTTATTTGCAGACTTGTATTGGTGCTGCGCGCTGTAGGAGAAATAACGGCCACACTATGGAAACCCATTATGGAAATATGCCAGATAAATCACAAAAACCTCATACGACAAGTAGATATGAGAACATAGAAGGACCTGAATTTTAACGAATTTTACGAATTTTTACGAATTATTACGACTATACACGATAAATCGAAAGAAAGAAAAATAACAAAAATACTTCAAGCTTACCATCAACGAGACGGAATTCTCGGGGGAATTTATAGCAAATATTAAACCAAGAATTAGGACAATCGACCAAGATTTGACTATAAAGATAATCAGAGAACCTCCACGGAAACTACTTTCCCACGTCCGCACACGTAGCAAGGATGGAAGTACCACGGAACAAAGATTCCTCAGGAACTAATGCAAAAGTCAAAGTCGTGTTTATAATAGGAAATGTAGATGTCACCCAAACGGAACCAATGAGAGTAATTACAGGGGAAACTACCCATAAACGACGGAGATATGACTAAAACTCCTGCAAAACGAGGACAATGTCTAAAAAGCAAGCGCGAAGATTAACTAGTAACGACCGAGACAAGCTTGATAGCCCATTAGAAAGGAAAGGATCTACTCTTAATCCTCCCAAATTTTCATAATAAAAGGATCATGCGTTAATGAGAAATCCAATAACGGGAATAGCGACATCAAAAGTCCGAGCTCAGGGACAAGACGATGATTGCGTAGGATCCATAATTAAAACATACAACGAAATTTACACGGAAATTATGAAAAATAGGAAACTATAGTTATGCAAATTTTCAGCCCAAACAGTCCAGCTGTTGTGAAGTTATACCCATGATGGGAATATAGGAATCCGCATCATGTGTAATGACACGTGAGGGTGGCGATGCGCAGGGAACCAGCCGTCGGAACCGAGATCCGCACTTCGGCAGATCGCGAAGACCAATTTCCATCCAAATAAGGAAGAGCCCGGTCAAACAAAGCACGAAAAGTGCAAAACAACCTTAGATCATGAGGGAAAAATCTGAAATAAATCACAGAAGCCCATATGAAAGAAATAAACACCCGCGCATATCATAAATCCCAAACAACTAAACGAAAACGGCTCCCGCATACGAACAACTATGGGAACGACGCACGTGATTACCGAATGTGCGCGCGAAACTTTGCTAACTCAACGAATACAGGGAAATAGGACACAACCTTAGTACCATTGGAAAGGTGGGAATAAATGAAAATTTATGATACCAAGAACGTGAGAAAACATCCAGAAATGAATGAGATACAAGGACATGAAGTTAGAAACCTGAAAACACGCGGGAAGACAGCTTCAAGAGGTCTAGAGCCCTAAATAAAATACATAAAAATATGATATCTTCGAGGAAGACCTACTATAACAACGAACAATACATGTGGAGGATTAGGATGTGATAATACAAAGGGGAATCAGGGAATATGAACGAAATTCACGAAAACTACTAAACTACGACGGACCATGGCGGGAATTTTAGGGAACGATGTTCTAATGAAGTAGAGAGCTATAACACATTCGTTTGAGTAATTCTTGATTACTAGCAACTTTTTCTTTCAGTTTTAAACCTGAATAATTCACTCATTTATCATTTCAGTCTCATTTTAACTAAATGTCACTAAATAAAATTGGAATAAATCAGCTGAAGGTCTCAGCACAGTCGCACGCATAGTAATGCGAGGTTTGAATTCAGTATGACCGAGTCATAGCGAACTTAATGGGAAATATGGGGAATTTGAAATAGGGAACTGCGGCAAATGCGGCGCAGACAAATTCTAATTAACCATTAAAATAGCTTAGGCGAGGAAGGACAATAAGGATTCCAGGCGCAGTCTGACCGCAGTAGAGCCGCAGTTCAGCGCAGCAAAGCGCAGTGGAACTATAGCGTGAAAATTTCACTTTTTATTCAGTTTGAGAAAAATACACTGTAAATAAATCCTGTAAATATAAGGTAGAGCGTGAAAAAGGAAGGCGACCCAAGGAGTATAAAAGGGAGACCATTTCTGCGACTTTTCGCCCCCCTTAGAGAAGTAAGAAAATAGAGTATTATTTTTCTCAAGCATTTCTGGTTGTCACTCCAGTGCGAAAAAGTGATATACAGTTAAGATTGCCACTGTAGTAAAAGGCAGCAATTAAGGAGAGAAATATTAAGTAGATATTTCAACAGGAGAGCTGGTTAACACTCCAGATTTCAAAGTGTAAACACAAAACAGTTATTTTGCTACTGTTAAAACAAGCAATAAAATAAGACAAAAATAGAACAAACTCAAGGGACACTCCAGACACCATCCAAATTCATTAACTGAATAGAATCTTTGAAACTTCACCAAGTAGAAGATTAAATTCAAGTTTAAATCCAAATTAAACAACGCTACACAGAATTACACCTAGACAAATTAATAAATTTCAATAAAGAAACAGCTCCGCAGGGCTCGGTTTATCTGTAAGTCAATTCCCAGGAACTTTAAAACTAACCCATAAAAATAGAATTAGCCAAAACACTCGGATTGGTACTTTATTTACAATAAATAACACTAGTACACTTCCCCATCCTAACTAAAGAACCAGGGAACAGCTTGGTGGTGGTCTCGTTTGAACCTCCCAACTGACCTTCCTTCGTTCTCTCCTTCAGCGCTGACCTCTGCTTTTGTCCTCTGGCCATTTTTGTCACTTGGCAACATAACATTCATTCCTTGCCGAGTGCCTATTATGTTCACCCCAATATTGGCATTTGATCCGTGTGCTATTGCACTTTCCTATTCATTCATTGAATCTGTCAATATTGGTACTTGATCCGCTTTGACCTTATTCATTCCTTGCTTCCCATTTCCCAGGTTCTTGTCCTTGGTTTAGTTTGACAAGTCCCCACTCATTTCCACTTATTTCCACACCAGACCAACCGGTCCCTCTTTTGATTTCCCTTACCTACTTATACTTTGTAAATACTTTCAGGGACCTCAGTCTGAAATCAACTAGAGTACCCCCCCTGTCTGGTCTGAGTCTCTCCTTCTGCAAAGGGGGCTTCCCCCCCTCTGAGTCCGTGCTTGTGGAGTCTGCACTCCTCCTACAGGTCCGCTCCACCTGCAAGTCTTGTTTGAAGTCCGCTGTGAGTGTCAGTCTGTAAATATGGGATCTCCCCCAAACATCAAGCTCAAGGCACAGTGCTCCACCTGAGTCGCTGAGGCTGCGATCCCACTCTGCTAACCTTGGACAGCGCTTCTGGACGTGCCGCATATTTCCGCCCACATATCCGCACGTGCGCGCTCCAACAGACCTCTGCCACAATTTCCGACTCCGACAATAATCCAGTCTTCTGACAGCAATCCAGTCTCTGACAAGTCCCTGAAGTATCTGATGAAAGAGGTATCATTGACACTGAGATGCGGGCTAGAGTTTGGGAACACACTGTAAACACCCACTGTGGACCATGAAGGCCTATATGAGCGTTTTGCTGGAGAGGCATGCTGTCAAGATAGTGCAGCTCTTGTTGTTCGAAGTTTACAATGCCAAGCAGCCAGTGACTGCACTTCCTTGAGTAGCATGGAATTGTCCCAGCGCTTGCATCAAATCAGTTTGGACCTTCTTTGTGGCTCGCTGAAGGTTGGTTAGTACAGGGTCCATCGGTGTAAGCATTCCCACATACATCCAACAGGTGAACTGCCATACAATGCCTCATTCCTTCACACTGAGTAGGAAACATGATCACACAGGGGCAAGTAGTCTTGAGGATTTCCCATAGCTTTTCGTCTGTAAGGTCTTGCAGCATCTCAATGTAGGCATCGATTATTGCTCCATGTATCAGCCACTGGCGATTGACTGTCGGTAATGCATCAGGGAAGATCGCAATATGTTTGTAATATCTTGCTTTATGTCTTGTTTTGCTCTCATTCACTATCTAATGAGATATCAGTGGCATGAGTCACTGGGGAGCCTGGGAGGATTCTTACTTTTCCAGCGTCTTGAGGCAGAAGCAACTCCATTATTTCCTTCCAAATTTTGGTTGGCTTTTGTTGTTGGATGGACTGGGTGGGTGAACGGATGGCATCGAAGATTGTTGTAATTGGAGGAAGACTTTGGGGACAGGGGTTCTCATTCCAGAACTTCTCCTCAATACTTTTGTTGCAGCCAGGACTATCTGCACCTCTCAATCTATGAGGAGGAACCAAGTCCGTAAGAGGTTCAGTGGGTGGATCAGGATTGTCAATGGGGTCCATTGTCTCATTGAGTCGTATCTCTGGTTCACCATCTGAATGGTTTACGGGTATCTCAGGTTCGAGAGTATCGCCTGGGCCACTGCCACTGTCAGTAGAGGGCTCGATATCATCAATATTGTCGTTGTCATCCTGCTCTGGGCTCACTTAGTTCATTTGTGACTACAGCATCGTCTTCAGGGTCTATGCCGTGTGTTCCTGAGGATAGAGTTGTGGAACCAGGGGGGGGAAGGCGGAAGGAGGAATACTCCATGGCACTCGGTGCATGTTTTAATTTGGAATTTAACTTGAATTCAATCTTCTACTTAGTGAAGTTTCAAAGATTCTATTCAGTTAATGTATTTGGATGGTGTCTGGAGTGTCCCTTGGGTTTGTTTTATTTTTGTCTTATTTTATTGCTTGTTTTAACAGTAGCAAGATAACTGTTTTTCTTTACACTTTGAAATCTGGAGTGTTAACCAGCTCTCCTGTTGAAATATTTACTTAATATTTCTCTCCTTAATTGCTGCCTTTTACTACAGTGGCAATCTTAACTGTATATCACTTTTTCGCGCTGGAGTGACAACCAGAAATGCTTGAGAAAAATAATACTCTATTTTCTTACTTCTCTAAGGGGGGCGAAAAGTCGCAGAAAGGGTCTCCCTTTTATACTCCTTGGGTCGCCTTCCTTTTTCATGCTCTACCTTCTATTTACAGGATTTATTTACAGTGTATTTTTCTCAAACTGAATAAAAAATGAAATTTTCACGCTATAGTTCTACTGTGCTTTTGCTGTGCTGAACTGCGGTTCTACTGCGGTCAGACTGCACCTAAAATCCTTATTGTCCTCCCTTGCCTAAGCTATTTTAATGGTTAATTAGAACTTGGCTGCACTGTGCATTTGTCGCAGTTACCTATTTCAAATTCCCTATATATACCATTAAATTTACTATGACTCGATGATTCTGAATTCAAACTTCGCATTACTATGCGTACGGCTGTGCTGAGACCTTCAGCTGATTTATTCCATTTTTATTTAGTGACATTTAGTGAAAATGAGACTGAAATGGTAAATGAGTGAATTATTCAGGTTTAAAACTGAAAGAAAAAGTTGCTAGTAGTCAAGAATTACTCAAACGAATGTGTTATAGCTCTCCACCTCATTAGAATATTGTTCCCTAAAATTCCTGCCATGGTCCATCGTAGTTTAGTGGTTTTTGTGAATTTTGTTCATATTCCCTGATTCCCCTTTGTATTATCACATCCTAATCCTCCATATGTATTGTTCGTTGTTATAGTAGGTCGTCCTTGAAGATATCATATTTTTATGTATTTTATTTAGGACTCTGGACCTCTTGAAGCTGTTTTCCCGCGCGTTTTCAGGTTTCTAACTTCATGTCCTTGTATCTCATTCATTTCTGGATGTTTTCTCACGTTCTTGGTATCATAAATTTTCATTTATTCCCACCTTTCCAATGGTACTAAGGTTGTGTCCTATTTCCTGGTATTCGTTGAGTTAGCAAAAGTTCACATGCACATTCGGTAATCACATGCATCGTTCCCATAGTCGTTTGTATGCGGGTGCCATTTCCGTTTAATTGTTTGGGATTTATGATATGCGCGGGTGTTTATTTCTTTCATATGGGCTTCTGTGGTTTATTTCAGATTTTTCCCTCATGATCTAACGTTGTTTTGCACTTTCTGTGCTTTGTTTTGACCGGGCTCTTCCTTATTTGGATGGAAATTGGTCTTTGTGATCTGCCAAAGTGCGGATCTTGGTTCCGACGGCCGGTTCCCTGCGCATTGCCACCCTCACGTGTCATTACACATGATGTGGATTTCTATATTCCCGTCATGGGTATAACTTCACAACGGCTGGACCGTTTGGGCTGAAAATTTGCATAACTATAGTTCCCCATTTTTCATAATTTCCGTGTAAATTTCGTTGTATGTTTTAATTATGGATCCTATGCAAACATCGTCTTTTCCCTGAGCTCGGACTTTTGATGTCACTATTCCCGTTATTGGATATCACATTAATGCATGATCCTTTTATTATGAAAATTTGGGAGGATTAAGATTAGATCCCTTTCTTTCTGATGGGCCATCAAGCTTGTCTCGGTCGTTACTGGTTAATCTTTGTGCTTGCCTTTTAGATGTTGTCCTCATTTTGCAGGAGTTTTAGTCATATCTCCGTCGTTTATGGGTAGTTTCCCCTGTAATTACTTTCATTGGGTCCGTTTGGGAGACATCTACATTTCCTATTATAAACACGACTTTGAATTTTGCATTAGTTCCTGAGGAATCCTTGTTCTGTGGTACTTCCATCCTTGGCTACGTGTGTGGACGTGGGAAAGTAGTTTCCATGGAGGTTCTCTGATTGTTTTTATAGTCAAATCTTAGTCAATTGTCCTAATTCTTGGTTTAATATTTGCTATAAATTCCCCCGAGAATTCCGTCTCTTTGATGGTAAGCTTGAAGTATTTTTGCTATTTTTCTTTCTTTTGATTTATCGCGTATAGTCATAATAATTCGTAAAAATTCGTAAAAATTCGTTAAAATTCAGGTCCTTCTATTCTCTCATATCTACTTGTCGTATGAGGTTTTGTGATTTATCTGGCATATTTCCATAATGGGTTTCCATAGTGTGACCGTTATTTCTCCTACAGCGCCCACAAAATCTGTCGATCCCACCCAGCTTTACCATCCACTGTTCCACAGCTCAAGGTTGCCACACATGATCCTTTATATTACTACAGCCATATGGGTACAAGTTGAACCTCTGATCACAGCTCTACGTCCACACATCCCGTAAGTGCCCAAAATCTATTGATCCCACCCAGCCTTGACATCATGCCATGTAAACGTTGTACTCCATTCCACAGCTCAGGGTTGCCACGCACAATCCTTTCCAGCCCTGTCGGCCATCTCTGCGCTCATAGAAAACTCTATTTCCGGTTAGTGTTCTCCCTGTTTGCTCTTGGCATTGCAGCTAACAAAAACTTTCTAGATATCATTGAGGGCTCTTCTCTTCATCTTTAACCACAGACGACTAGAGGTGCTTCGCGCATCACTAGTGAATCATAGTTACCGTGAAGATATTTGACTGACGAGGGCCAGAGGTTGTATTCAACACCACTGGCACTCATGGTCATCTTGGTCTTCTTGCCCACCCCCTGCAACGCCAACCTCCCGTTCTAATCCTGCGTAGTACACTCGACATTCATACCCCCCCCAATCAGCTCTTCTACCCAAACGGTGCATTACATCATGCGCCGATATCCAAACTTCTAGTTCAGTGTTACTCGTGTACGGGCCCGCAAGTCTCACTGCCTGTGGTTAGGCATTCCTGGCACCGCAGCAAACATTTTGCGCATCGTCTTTTAACATCAAACGGCACTAACAATCTCACTCAGTGGACATTGTCCCTGCCCCGGATTGTGTACTGTTGATTCGCCCAATCCTTATTCATGGTCTCGTACTCAGGTTTGGCTTTCTGGACATCACTCGCACACCAAGCGGCGCTTACATGATGTGCCAAACGGTGCGATCAGACACGAACCTCAACCTTACCCTTCTGCCACCCTCGACCTTCTGCACCCACCAATTGTGCCATCCAATCCGTGTTAGTGGACTCGTATTCACATTCAACACTTGTGCACCACATGCCTGAAACCCTGTGCTTGAGCGACTTGAGAAATGGCAGTGCAATTAGACAAGAACACTGTGCGCTCGCCACCGGCCTACCCCGTGTACTCCATACCCCGTAGCAAATACCTTTATAAGAGTAGTTCCAACGCTATGCCCCTCTCTCCCCGTCATTGAGGGCTAACAATCTGTCAGGGCATCCCCTGACACGCCCCACCCGATCCCTGCTCCACTTCCCTGCTCTGCACCGCTCCCCCCTCCTCTCCCTCTCCCTCTCTTTCTTTCTTTCTTTCTTTCTTTCTTTCTCTTACATGGACCACCTTTCCCGCTGCTCAATGTATCACCAGCGCGCATGCCCATTTCCCCTCCTGTATCTTACCACCCCTACATCGCCGCCACTGCCGCCGCACTCGCCCTGCACCCACAGCAGGCCCTCTCAGGATCTCCCACGGAGGCACCCAGAGAGCCATGGCTGTGTGCAAGGGTGACGTGGCGCACCCCACATGATCGATCCCGCATGTATATAATAACAGCTGGAGTGGGAACCAAAAGTAGTCTTCTTCTCACATTTCCACTTCAGGCAAGTAGTATAGCCTTCCCCTTTAATGATAACTCACATTTCCACTTCAGACTAAGTGGTCGGGGACGCTCACCCCACGACGGGATCGCCACTATGCACAGCCGCTATTCACCCCACCGAGTCCTGCACGCCGGGACCTCGCTGCTTTCGGAGCTGTCCCTGACACAATCTCATTAAATTCCTTGCCACCCTCTACCCTGTGTTGCGCGCCACCCTTTATCCAGTCCGTCTTAGCGAGCCCGTATTCGCATTTCATCTGGATACTACACGCACCCCATCTGGCGCCCAAGTGCTGAGAGAAATGGTACAATTCGACTGGGGCTCCCATCCAACCGATGTGTGCCCCACTGCATATTTGATAGTTCCAGCGCCATACCACTGCTCCACTGCCCACCAATTGCCCTGTTTGCCTATTGGTATGCGCCACAGCTACACACACTGACTGAATGTGCAGCTGACTGAGTATATCTTAGACTAGCTGCGCAACTGCTGCATACTTGTTGAGAAGAGCCTGTCCTGTTCTTTTCCGTTCACCCTATCTCTTAACGGCTACATACCATGCTGAGGCATAAGCCTGTAATTCCTCGCCTTACTACCTCTCCTGTAAAAAAGTATCACCCATATAATTTAAGCAAACCCAAAAAATATGTGGATCTCCTTGGTGGCCAGTCTGCACCTGAATCCAAACCCTCAATGTCCAAAAAGAAAGGACATGAGCGCGTTCCAACCGATGAAGTCCCCATTCCCCAGCCATCGCAATGCGTCGAGATAGCAAACGCCAGCGGCACCGTGATGACCCAACGCTGGGGGCCTGGAATCGCATCTAGAGATTGGTGGCCAGTGCCAAATCGCCACGATCATGTAGGAAATGCAATATCAACAGATGCCAGCAATGTTTCGACTCCCCCTTCAATGCCGGCTCTAAAAAAGGAATCACCGAAATGGGAGGCATCACCTCAAGGTTGGCTGGAAGGTATCGCAGAACCCGCTCTTTCAAACCCAGACTCTGCCTTGCCCCCTACACCTTCGCGGTCAGCTTCCCAAAAATGGGCCAAGAGAGCATTATGAAATCCGCAAAAGCAAGCTGCATGGCTCCATTGGCGCCGCGATATAATACACAACACACTGGAAATCTATCTAGAAGTAGAGGCAAAGAAGGCAGGATGCATACCCCTTGCCACCCCCAGCGAGACGTCATTTGACAGAAATGGAAAGCTACAAACACCGGCAGTATCGCTGTGCTCTCACTGCAATGCATCTCCCTGGTTTCATTTGCTCATGATGATCGCGTTCTCAGGTATGTTTCCATTCTGATCTGGCTCAACAAACAATAGGTGCCATGCGGCGGACATTCAAATATTGTGAATGTCCGTCTAATACTCTCCCACTTAGCATCATCCAGTCTGGCTACTTTCCGGGGTCACCTGTAATGCCTCAAGTTGCCTTCCATTTCGATGTCCTTTCGCTGTATTCAGCCTTACATGTGGACTCGTATACCCCAGCTGCCTCCTTTCATGCCGCTTTGTTTCCATGTTACAAGAGAATGGCTATGAGTTCACCCACAACGTGAGATTCATTTGTTATTTGTCAGTAATTGGCACATTCATGATCTGGCATTCATATAGGACCCTTTTCTCCAGTCGTTTAGTGAGGTGATCACTTGGTTCCAGGCCTTACGTGATTTAGTAGACGTTGAAATGGAGAGAGAATTCCTCCATCCCTCATCCCCTGCGGTGCCCGATGCACCACTATGGCGTTCCACGCTGGCCAAGTCTGCCAGGTCCATCCACACCGTTCCTGCTCACAATGGAGATCCTTTGGTTGCTACGTCCCATGGCATGGTATCTGTTGACTATGGCATCCCAACCTTCACAAAGACGTCACAGGACCTTCCATCAATGGTCCCTGAGCGAGCAAGGCTCATTCGCAACCCATCTGACACCACTGCCAGCCCATACCTCCGTGTGAGATGCCCCCAATGTTTTGGAGGTTTGATATGGGGTAGTTCAGCCAACGAGTTAGTCTTCTCATGGATGTCCTCCGAGAACAGGTATACTAAGTGTTTCCCTAGATGTCCTGATGTCATCGTCGCTATGGATGGTAATATGCAACATAGGCAGTACATGTTCGTTGGAGGAGACATGGTCCTTCCCTGGAATGAAACCTGTACATTCCTCACCGATGCCGAAATTGAGGAAGCTGCCCTCCATGTCTCTGATGCATGAGCTGCATCTAGAGGTTGTTCGGAAGAATCTCGTCCCTCATCCCTTGTACCGGATGGTGCTATTGATGAATGTGAAGAATCACACAGAGCCACAAAACATGGAAAACGGACTGCCTCGAAAACAGATACATTCCGTTCGAAGGGTCTGATGGCAACTGTATGCCATCATGATATCCCCCTTTTCCTCTGTGATGTACACACTCCAGGTGAACAGCAGCACTTTTCAATTGCCATGCTCCTTGCACTCAACTGCCAACTACCCTCAAATGCCACCATTGGATTAATGTATGATGTTGGATGTGTTCTCGATCGATCAATTGCCAAGGTATGACTTTGCGTAGCATTCAGGTACAACCTCTTGATATACAAACAAAGTACAATCTCATTCCCGAAATCACTCCTAGATTGAGCATTGCTGTTTCAGTCTTCCATGCCTATGCACATCAATTCTGTTGTCAAATTGCATTTCACCCCTGGAAATGAAATGGGTTCAGAAAGTTAAACGGGGAAGGAAATGAGCGGCTATGGTCCTTAATTGTTGATACAATAGCGCCTGAACGCATAATGAGTGTGAGTCTCACCAGGCCAAACACTGTTTGTTCGACAACCCTATCTTATCCAAGGTTCTCCCCAAACTATAGCCAGCTAAACGAATCACAACTATTGACCACAAAATCAAGAAGATTGCGATCTGTGGCCAAGACCGTCTTGCTTCATTGGCGAGGTCCAAACTGGCCGCCATTCTCCGTGAGGAGGTGCTTCTGATGGATCTTCTTAAAGATTTGGAGAGTGACAGGGGATTCACAACTCCTTTCCTTTGATCCCAGTGGGAAGAGCAAAAGACTTTGCAGCTCTCTGTTCGAACTTGTATGTCTGTTTCCAATCCCATGTTCACATTGACCTATGCTGGTTATGGTCTAGACAATGACCAAGCTGGAATGAAAAAGTTTGCAAGACTTCTCGAAGCCGAATGGTCAGCACAAGCACATTCAGAAGCATTGGATGCTGTAAAGAAGGAGTTGGACCGAATCAGCTTGGCGCGAACACTGTCCCACAGCCCTATCAATCTTGACAAACATTTCCAAGCCGCTCAGCATGTACGGTTGTTGCACAATGAATCTCAACAACGCCTACGAGATCTGACAGCTCAAATTGGCCTGTCCGATTTGAAACCTCTCCAAAATCCGTCTAGCACAGAAAGGGACTATATGGAGAAGTACATCCTGGCCCAATTCCACAAACATGCCATCCTTATCCGCTTAGCCAAGTACCAGGACAAGATGAACCCTATTCAAAGCTCGCAACAGTGTGGAGGACAACTCGTTACAAAAGTTGGTAAGCACAACCCCGTTTGAGGTGAATGGTGATGTGCTTGAAGGCTTATCTGGTACTTATAGGCTACTCGAAGATGGTCTCAGTGTTCAATAGCGCAAAAGACCGTGCCCATGTTATTTCTGACCAGGTCGCGTGATATAACGAGCTTGTTGACAGCCTCAAGCGTTCCGATAGGCCCTCCTGGCTCCCGGATTCTTTGAAGCACACCAAAATGGACGTCAAAATACTGCTTAACATGGATCCCAGTGATGAGCAGTGGACAAACATGTGGGAGAGCCTGTGGGTTTCCAACTGGAACCTGGATGAGAAACCACCTGCCTTTATCGTCAATCAGCAGGTTTGCCATGGCATAGTAGCAGTGCTGTCGCTTGCTCGTATTGAGGAAGAAAAGCTTAGGCTCGCTCGAGAGGAACTCAACGCGTGCACCTGGATCGTCCAGTCGGTAGACTCCATGATTCAGACCACAGACGATATTCATCGTATGTCCTACAATTCCCACAAATCACCAATACACTAACATTGATTCCAGCTCTTTATAAATATCAATGGCAACTACGCCTCAAGTTGTTACTCAAGTGCCATGATACAATCGTGAACGGACCATTTCCTTGCATCAATCTGTGGCGTGCATCGACACACTACCTGCTTGCAAACCTAGAACATTCAGACCCCCAGGCCAGGTCTGAAGGTGAGTATCGGAGTGGATGGGAGAAGGGTAGGAGAGTGACAGAAGGGTGGAGGTGTTGTGAGGAGGAAGAGGAGGAGTGGGAGGAGTAGGAGGAGGGTGGCGAGAGGAGTGGTGTTCAGTCCGAGGTGAGTATCGGAGCAGATGGAGATAGGGCAGGAGAAGGACAGAGGAGTGGAGGTGGCATGAGGGGTGAGAGGAGGTGTGGTGTCAGGTGTGGTGTCAGGACTGAAGGTGAATATCAGAACAGACAGTGGTAGGGTAGGACTCTGGAGGTGGTGAAGATGGAGGTCCGGGAGTCGGGTTGGGATTGGGTATGCACTGATATGACAGGCACAGCACTCCTCTCCAAGTCACTGAGGCCACAGTCCCTCTGCTGGTTCTCTACCTCCGGCCTCCTTCTGGGGAAAGGTCCAGGGACACTGCCCTCCTCATGTGTGCTTGTCAATCTGTTACATTAACTGTAACACCTTCTCAATGTCATGGCCCCCTCCTGCACCTGAATGCTATAGAAATGGGCCAATTGGCCCCATTTTTATAACACTCACAGACCTACCTCAGCACCTTCGCCATCTGTAGTGTATAGTTTGCACTTCTCCCTCACCCCTATTTGGACTACTGCTTCTTTCCATGGAGCCAGTTAGTCATCAACCCCACTTCCCCTCATCCTCCTGCCCCTCTGGGCCTTGCCCTCCTTACCTCCTTTTGGATACACCATAGAGTCCAACCATTGACCCTTGGTGTAGCCCTGCATCCATATTTCCCATTGTCTCCATTTGGACACCTTTGTTTTTCTCATGCTTCATACTCATTGCCCCTCAGTCTAACATTGAATAGAGTTAATTAATGGCCCCTAGAGACTTCCTCCTTGCTATGTCTGAAATTAAGGACCAACAGGACAAACAGCAATGGCACAGCGCTCCCCTTGATTGCTAAGTCTCCAATTCCACTCCTGAATCGTCCACAACTGCTACTCTCTAACAGGCATGAGGAATGTGTGAGAAAAGTCCAGAGGGTGTGTGACTGAGAGTCTGGGGAGCCATAGAAGTGTGAATAATGCAAGAGAAGCAAGTAGAATGGCTGAAAGCACATGTTTTTTTTTTTCTGATTTTTCCAAGCCCTTCCTGACCACACACATCCATCAGTTTCCAAATTGGGCAACTTTCACCCATGTATTCCACCATTTCCTCCATATATCCATCAATTCTCCACCAATCTGGACAAATTTGGTATTGTTGGAAAGCCCTAGTCAACACAATTCAAAGAATGTTACGAGTGACGTATTTGGTTCAGCAGTTGAGGTTGTTACAAGGATGGGGAGAACTTCTCCCCTCTTGACCCATTCTTATAGTTGGAAGATGATTGTGAGATCTTATTTGTACCTTAACAGAATGTGTAATCAATGGGTGATCCCAGTTGTGTATAAGAGTAGATGATCAAATCCTCATCGATTGTGATTCATGATGGAATGAGCTATTAAGGGTTTGATTGCATGTAGTCGGAGATGCCAGGATAGATAGGTCAGCCACAGGTACTTGGCACTCCTCAGTGGAGTGTACCATGAACATACCAGTAGTGGGTTATTATCATGAGTGTCCAGTAAGGAGTGACTAGTGGGGCCTTTGGTGACTTGGCATTCCCAAAGGGAACATACTGATGGTGGTGAGGTGCAACAGCTGGCAAGGGAGAAACTAGATGGTTGATGGGTAGCTACTTGGCGCTTGTGTAACAAGCATGCCAGCATCATGGGAATATGAACCTCAGAGCAGTCACAATCCTGAACATCATAGTATGACATCATCCATCGAGTGCTGGAGGGAGAGCTGGGTGACAATGTCCTGTAGGACATGGGTTCCAATGGATGATACACAAGTTGAAAGGCTTCAACTCGTGACTTCGAGTTCTCATGGTGAGAACCACCAGAAGACTCGATATATAGGACATGTTGAGAGTTGTACACACACATGGGTTTAGCTGAGTGTCACGACCCGGCAATTCCCACGGTCAGGTGATCACTCCCCACACCTTCTCCCTCCCCCGCTTCGACCCCGTCAACCCTGCTGCCCGCCTGACGCCGCCTGAACAAGCCCATCACCCTTCCCCATCACCACTACCTGTTTCCACGGCCCGTCACGGGCCTACTAGTCTTTCTTTATCACGCTTGTTTTTCTTGATGGCTGTACATGGCCATCCTTCTCCCACACTCTTTGTTTGTTTTCGTTTCTTCTTAACCCCACCCACAATCTCCGTGAGATCTGGTGACTTAATTCCATTCATTCCGTTATACTTAAATACTGGTTGTACACTACCTCGTACTGTAGTTCGAAAATCAACGAGGGTTACCCCCTGCACCTTCTGTCTGACCCAGTCGCACCTCCTGCCTCCTGAAATATTGGGGCCACGTCAAGTACGAGGCGCAACGCTCACGAACGAGTCGTTGAAGCCGAAACCCTGTTCCGCTGCGATTGTCATCCCCACCCTTGACGGGCTGTTACGCCGAAGCAGCGGACCTTAACGGTCGCCGACGGCAAGTCATGGTAACGTTTTCCCACGCCCTGACAGTATTTTCGAACTCCCCTCACTCTTGACGTTAAATGATGTCTCACAAACCCAGAGGGAAGCCATCCGGGGTGTGTGGGCCGGACGGGTCAATAGTACATCGATACAAAGGAAGATGGTCCATGTAGATAGAAGGAAATAAACAGGGAGAGGAAGATGAGAAGAATGAAATAAAGAAAGGAGAAGGAAGAGGGAAAAGAAAGGGGAAGAGAGGGAGGAAGGAGGAGAGAGAGGGATGGACAGCGGGGAGCGGGTGTGGTGTGGCTGGGTGGGTCCGGGTGGACCCAGGTCAGGCGGGTGTGCCCTGACACTTCCACACTAAGTCTCCGATTCCATTCCGGAGTCGTCTGAATCCACCCGATCTAACAGACTTTGACTAAAGTCCTTCTCTTCCTCTATATATACCTGTAGATTAGAACCCTTTGTACCTCAGTTCTAATCTCAACTAAAAGTTACCCCAAGTCCCTTTATGAGTGAATCCCAACCCCTTCCTACAAGATACCTCAGACACATGAAATAAAAGGACTAACTGAGACGTAATGGAGGCACAGCGCTCCCTCCAAGTCGCTGAGGCCATGTCCTTCTTAGAGCCTCTTGTACCACCCAGCAGACCTGGGCTTCCTGGAGAAGCTATGGTCCACTACCGGAACTCTCGGATCCCCTAGTTGAACCCCGCCTGCATTCAGACTCATGCACTTTACCCTTGTTCAGGGTTTTTGACACCTAGGGTCATTGGTGTTGACTGGAGGCAGTGGAGAGATTGGGAGGACTGGTGGAGGTCATAGGAGTCGTGTAGTGATAGGATGGAAGGAGGCGGAAGATCTGGGATATGACAGTTTTGATCTCTAGATGTTAGCCCTCTCTTTTCGAGGTGGTGTCACGTGTAAATGTTGAAGGTACAGTCTGTGTCAGAGACTGGATTCAGGACAAATGAAAACTCTCTTTGTTCAGAGGGCTACAGCCTCAGTGACTCTACCAGGAGCACTGTGCCCAGTATCACATTGGTGCCCTAATTTACAGACTGAGGGGACTTCTAGAAGAGGGGGATTAACTCTAGTTGATTTGTTCACTAAGGTGTATGGTAACTACAAGTTATGTATTTATAGATACAGAGGGAGTCTAGATGGTGGGCCCATAAATGGCAGGGGCTGGATGGAGCTGACCTAACAGGGTCAAGGGTTAGCTGACTGAGTACTACTGATGATTTGGGTTACAGGGTTAATGGGTTATAACCCAGAAGTGGAATGGAGGGATTGGTCTGAAGGTGGACTTGCAGGGTAGGCAACTAAATGACCCAGTGGAGGTGGGGGTGTGCTTGCAGACATCAGAGCTGTCTGGAGTCCTTCAGGGTTCCATACTTAGGTTGGTGTAGGTAATATATTGAAATGGGTGGGTGGTGACCATTGGGGAAGTTGGAGGAGATTGCAGGATTTAGTGGCTCCAAGGTTGGAGATGAAGGAGCAGGGGCAGTCCAGGATGGCCAGAGGTGATGGAAGTGGATGGATATGAAATAAACAAGTAACCACTGCTCTACCATCCATTCCTTACAGTCCCATTAGTCTTGAGCAACAGATGTGCACAAGGTGCTTTGGTAAAAAACCCAGTAGAATTGCATGATGAGCAATTGAACCTTGCTAATGCCTTCATCATTACATAAGTAGTAAGGGGGTGGCCTTCAGGCCCCCTCTCCTGGTAGCCTCAGTTCCTTCATCACCAGGGACATGAGTAACATAACAGGTGCAGTGCTCTGTTCCAAGTTGCTGAAGCTGAGTCCCTTCAACACCCCTGGAACTCTGCTCCACCTCCAGTATGTCTCTGACACAGATGACCCAGAAGCTCAAGCTCCACACAACAACTTGACTGGGAAGTGTATGGACAGCCTTCCTGGTGGATCTGTGACAGCTATAGTGGATCTTTGGTCAACATGGTTGTGGGAGACTCTGTTCCTATAACATTACATCTCAGGCACTTGCTCAGGGCCAAGATATTCTGATGAAAACATAGGGTCTGTATAATAAATATGGAAGACTGTGGAACTGTACATTAATGATTGGGAGTAAGTCCAGTATTTTTGGAGTGTACACCTATGTCATGTAAATACTACATTATTTGAGATATGTATCATGGAACCATAGGACTAGCTGAGTAGCACAATTTCTCCACTTCTTGTCCATTCCATCATACCCCTTTTTCAGCCATGGGGCATAATACTTCTCCTCCTTAAGCCTGCTGTCCTTCAAATAATCTGCTATGCTGGTCATCATCTCTGTGTCACTAACAGTGAGCCAAACAATCTCAAAAACAATCCCTGCATATAAACATGGCTGACCAGGAACCTTGACACCATGTAGGGGTGCATCTGGGTTCAGAAGACATGTGTAGCAGTATCCAGTATCACCCTGGTTACAAAAGTGTGCCTTTTTAAAAGCAAATGCCTCAGTCCCACCCCGTTTGTGTTTCACCCAGTGTTTACATTGATGTGTGTGATGGCTTCCATCCCTTGTCCCCTTTACAAGGCAGCACAGACAGAGATCCTTCAACTGAGGAAGGATTTTCTCCAATTTTTGAGGTATTTTCTTGATCTCAAGTGCTCTCTTCTGCTGCAGTTTAGAGTTGATATCCATGGATGTTGATGTGTGCTGGAGTGAAACATGTGTGAGTGGTGGGGAAACTGGATTGACTGAATTGAAATTAGGGATAGGAGAGTGTGGAGCAGAGGAGCGTCCTTCTGTACGTTCCTCCTCATCGAAATCTGCAAGTTTTAAGTGAGATAGCCATGTGAAGGATATGCAAACTTACCCCAAGGCTCTGCCCAGAATTCCAAGTCCCCATCCTCATCCTCATCCTCATCCTCATTCAGATGGAGCTTGGGGAAGCAAGCAGAACATGGTGCAACCCTCCTCTCCATGGTCCTCTGCAAGTCTGAGCAAGTGACTGGATTTCCATCCATGTGATGTGATTGGAAGTACCTGAGACACTCTCCTGATGCATGCAACATGAGTCCAATGGCCTTCTTTCCACTAAATGACTCCTCAGCTTGGGGAAATGGCTTCTTTGCTGCTGAGGGGAGGAGTGTGATGCATGAAGAAAATTCGCCATCCCTGCCTATCCTTCCAGAACTCTGCATGAATTCTGTCATGGACCATGGTGCCCCTACCATGATAGCAAAGCGAATTGAAGGATAGTCAAACCCATAAAATCCTGCCTTGTTAAGACAGATGAGAGCTGTTTGTCCTTCCCTCCACTTTCTAAAACCCTCCACCCTCTGCTCTACATCCACATCTCCAATAATGTAGGGGCACTGCAGGTGACCTGCCCACAGCCTGCAATCCTCATCACTCCCAAAGAACACTACTCCCCTCTCACCCTTACCAACATTCAAAAAGCTAGCAATTACCCTGATAAATTTGATGGTCACAGTAACCCACTTCTCCTGCCACTCATCAAATTTGTAAGCTGTCCTGGGTGGTGGATGACCCACTTTGCAATCCAGAACTTGATAGCAAATGTTGTGACGTTGGGTGGGAGACCTAATGACCTGCACAGTGTCTTGGGGCCTAAACTCTGCCTTGAGTACATTCCAGAAGGCATGCATGTATTGAGGAGGTAGGGTGGCAGAGCAGAATAAGATGGGACAGTTCTGAAGCTGCATAAGCTTGGTGATGCTACAGTCATAAGCATCCCTGAATGTGGAATCTTCCACCAACCCATGAGCCTCATCATACATGATGGCACCAAGCTTCCCAGAGTTGGCCAGATCATTGAGCCACCCAATACAAGCTTGTGAGGAGAATGACTCAATCGACAGTGTGATTACCCTCTCTGTGGGATTATGATTACCTGAGTGCCATTTGCCACAAGAAATGCCAATCCCATTGAACCTCCTTTTCATATCATTGTGAAGGACCTGGTAAGGGAGCACCATCACTGCTCTAGTTTCTGGTGGCCAACTTAAGATTGCAAGTTGGAAGGGAAGAGTTTTTCCAGAGCCAGTGCCAGAGATACTAACCAAATGGGTCTGCCGCTCCAATAGCTTCTTGTATACATGATACTGGGCTGGAGAGGTGAAGGTGGCATTCCTGTCCCTTAGCATGTGTTGCAGTCTGGACAGCGAGTCACTGTCATAATCATTGCTAAGGGTGTTGGCAAGAATCTCAGTGGGTGGGGTATCATGGGCCGAAATGGAATCATGAAGGGAGGTAGGGTTAGGGGGGGTGGGGTCAGGATGATTGGTGGAAGGATTCAAGAGTGTTTGTTCCTAGAATTATAGTGAATATAATGCTTGAATCAATGCAGAAACTGTCTCACCTGATGGTCTGGAGTTGAATCCACAGGGTCAGGATTTGGAAAGTACAGGTCCTGCATGTCATCCTCATCCTCATGTTGTTGCTGTTGCTGCTGCTGACTGCCTAGAATCTCCTGCCTAAAGACCTTGTCTGCTAACATGTCTTTAAGGGCCTGGATGAGGGAAGGGACAATCTTATTTGCCACAGAGTCATCAAATGCATTTGTGAGGAGAGTGATGAGGGTGTCAAGATCACTGGAACCAAGGTGTGAAGAATTGGCTGGGGGACTGCCACTCAATTCCCCTGTTGTGGTGGCTGGATTCAGAATCTGGTGAAGGGTGGCTACCTTTCCTTCCAGTCTGAGCCCCAGTACTTTTGCATGCCATAGACGAGCCATTGCCTGGAACAATGAAATGATCCTATCATTAATTCTCCCCACCTCTCCAGGCTCAAGTCCATAGATGGCCTCAGAAGTTGTTGTTGTCCTTCCAGCCATAGCATCCATCCCAGTTGTAATGTCCTCTTCTGGATCAATAATCCCCACCATAAGATGCCTCCCAATGGCAGCAGCGAGGTGGCGATAGGTGGACACATTAAGATTCACCTTCAAATATTCAATGGTATATTCACCCATCACCCTGCTTAGGTCAGGGGTAGTTGCAGCTTTTCCATTGCGCTGATAGAAGAGGTTGTAGTGGAGAACCCTGGATGCATCAGCTCCCCAAAGATATGTTCCCAATACTTCTTCTGTTTGCCTGATGAATAGGAGGTATTTGAGAAGCAAATCACTCAATGCAGAGTGAGGGAAGCGGGGGATAAGCTTTTCCTTTCCAGAGGCTGAGTTTGTCTATGAACAATTGATTGAGAAGGTGGGTGAAACACAGAGAAACAAGCATTCTATACCTTATTATAATTGAGGATAGTGGCAAGTCCACCTGACATGGCAAAGAGGCCTCTGTGTGTGTTCTGCATGTTACGAAACAACAAGCTGAGAATCTCTGTGCCTCTAGCAGGTTGTCCACATCCCAGGTGGAGTAGGAAGAGAATGCACTCATTGAGCTTTTGTGCCTTTTCCATCCATTGTTTCACCATCACCTTATTCCACTCTACTTGCCCCTCAACTATCCTCACAACATACTGGGGATTCTGGAGTAGGTGGGCAATGGAGTGAAAGCGGTAGGACTGAAGGATTGGGGTAGAGAGGAAAGAATAGGAAGGGATCTTATTCTCCAAGTCATCAACAATTGCAGAAAAAGGGAAATGGAGATTTGTATCAATGCCACTTGTGAGGTAACTGAAGAGTGACTTGGCCTTCTCCATGACATGACAGTATGCTTTTGGAATGTCAGCCAGAGATACATACAGGCCCTTCACTCTGATTCCCTTGTGATCAGGGTCCCAGGTAGTTGAAGGTGGGTGCCTCTCATTAAGTGCCACACTACTGCAGTATTTGTTCATGGCTTGGATGGTGTCAAAGGGGGTTGGTTCACCTTCCTGGAGCCATTGATGACAAAATTCCTTACACACTCTAATGTGGAGATATCAGATGGGGTAGCAGAAGAATTGAGAAGGGACACACTCAAAGTCTGTATTTGTATCCTCATTAGCCTTCCTCCTGATCTCCTTCACAGCCACCAGGCGCATCATGCGTACCAACCCAGACATTTTGGAAGCAATATCACCACAGGAATGGAACCCTCCCCCATTGGGGTTAAGGTTTATCAGGATCAAACCCATTCGGATGGGATCCTTTGTGGCATTGTGAGTATCACCATCATCTTGAGGGAAGAAGAGGGATACAAGCAGAGAATGGATAAGATCATCCCACACATTATCTGAGCATGACTCAGGATTGTCAAGAGCATACTGGATTTTGGATGCACACAGCCTTTGATGGGGGGTGAATGTGACTAGAATGGGAGGTGTGTTAAGGGAAAGATAGCGAAGAACAAAACAGACTAGCTTCAACACAAAGGCTTGATTCCTTTGCATAGTTGTTTCATTCTGGGGGTATGCAAATGGCCTATGATTTATATCACTATATTGGGGGACTGTTAGATTAGATGACACAGAAAGGCAATGTAGACTTGCCCCTCAGGTGTATTGATCCATCTTAAAAGTAATGGGGCCATTTCCTCCACCACCTCCCTTATCCCATTAATGTAGGCTGTGAGCTTGTCCTTAAGTGGAAGAAGTGCTGAGTTCCTTTGGCTGGGAGTCTCCACCATTCCACACAACTCCTTATAGTTTTTCCCCTTTATAATCCTGAGCCATCCATACTCCCTCAAGAAGCCATTAACATGGACAGAATCACAAGGTGCTCGGATTGTTCCATCATCCCATCCAGACTCATCATGAGCCTTGATCATGTCCAATGCTGACCTATGCTCATAACCTGGGGCCAGCATGGAATAATTTGAATCCACTGCCCAGACTTGATACACTGGCCTAGCTGAGAAGATAAGCTGCACTTGGGCTTGTAGGGTGTTCTCCTGGGCCAAAAAACCTTTGTGCACTCGTCGAATATGTCGATGGATGGTTTCATGGGAGATAGAAGCATAGCCACACCCTGGGACACCACACATGAAGCCAGGCCTGATGGGAAGTGATGCAACTGGGATTGCTTTTGATGTGGGTGGCATAACATCTTGTGGGACTTGACATTTATTAAGAATTGTGTCCAAGTTGGTAGGGACTTGGGATCTACCACCATGAGACTGGGTGATGTGGTTCTCCAGAGACTGGCGTGGTACACCACATTGACATCCTTCACACACAATGAGACGATGTGTGGGATCAATCCCAATCTGCAGGGGACAGAGTTCCTCGATGAACATAAGCTGTTGTGGAGGAAAGTGAATTTCCTCTTGATGTGGGGAAGATGGTAGATAGTCAGGACCCTCATTGTCATCTTGATCCTCAGAATCCTCAGGTTGTGGCCTAACCTCAGGAATAGAGGGAGCTAAAGTTGCAGTAGGGGTACTGGAAATGGCCACAGCATGAGGGTTAGAAGAGGGCTCTCCTTGCAGAGGCCTGGTGGGGATGAGGTTGGACTCATTCCCTCCTTTTACATGCTTGTGACGACGAAAATTGGCAGGGTCATGGTCAAAATAGTGGCATCCAGGCATAGGGCAGTGGAAACTGCCATCCTCCTGGCGAGTTAGTTGAATGTCACCGATAGTAAGCTTGGCTTGGTGCACAATTCGCACATGAGACCTTCTTGCATTATCATCAAGAAAGTCCTGGTCACACTGTCCACATTTGCTGAAGGGCAATTCAAAATCAGATGCCACCTGGTGATGCAATGAACCTTACATTTTATCTCCCTTAATGACCCTGGCAGTGGACTTGTTGAGTGCAGGCATTGCTGAAAAGAGTTAAACTTGATGGGAGTGAAAGTGGCAAAGGCTGTAAGGGTGTAAGAGTAAGCTAAAAATTGCCAGCACAAGTAAAAGGAGCATATCATCCCTACCAAGTTTGTTGAGCTGCCTGGGTTGTGTGGTGGAAAGCAGTTGGTGAGTAAAAAGTGCGCAGTTGGTGATGATTTGCTTCCGACACCGGAATTCTCCCTTTCTTCCCACAGCGGCTGTGAGGGCAATTCCAGCTGGAATTGCGGTTGAGTGTTTCATTCCGACAGCGTTTGTTTGCTGTGCCAGTACAATACCAACATGTTGCAGCTTCAAAGTTTCAATCCCTTGTTCTAATTACTTCATTTCCGAATCATTGTTTCTTCCGACTTTTAATACATTTCCATTTTTTCCGCGCTTACAACGGACGCAACAGCGCGGTCAAAAAAAAACACACACAAAACTAAGTGGCAGAATTGTCAATGGGCCGGCAACCCGAATAAAAAGTTGTTGTCAAAAAAGGGGTTGACATAGTAAGTGAAGATGGAGGACGATCGACTGGACATGTTGGCATGAGGAAGAGGGACAGGAAGTTAGGCAGCTGTCGTTATGTGGGTGAACGAATCCACGAAGCAGATGATTTTGTGACTGATGATGCGCGAAGGTTGGGCGATCGAACTGTAATACAAAGGGATTGGTGAGGACAGACTATCTGATAGTAGTGTCATTAGCTTGGCGGTTCATCGAATATGGATTAGGATAGGGAATCGGAAGGGCAAACCAAGAAGACCGTCGGACGGTGGGTAGACGTGTCGAATCAGGAGAGGAAGCGACGGTGTGAACGAAAGATCGTTTTAAGCGTCTTAAGATAGCAGTTATGAGGGTTGAAGCAATGAACGCGATGAAGAATTAGGGCTGAGATCGCGTCATGAGGGTAAAGGCAAATAATCGTCGATAAGAGCAGCTCTGACTCATATTTTGATGTGACGTTCACAGGCCCGCCTGAGGGCGTCTCTGCTAAGTAACTGAAACGGTTGGCACCACATGAAATGTTCCTCGAAGTACCGGTGGGGGGGTTGCGAGATCTCGGAGGGGGACGAGTACGTCAGTTCGCTGCCTGGAATTATCGGGCCCTGCGAATGGCGCATACAGGGCATGTGTCTAATTGCACGTCAGAGGCTACTTAGAGCGACCCATTCAGCCGATGGGAGGTTCAGGACCGGGCTCTGAAGAGCCCGCCTCAATGCGCGCAGGGTGTTTACAGACGGCAGGCATGCCTTTGCGTCCATTCCCGGCCTGGTGGTGTGCGGATGAGTGCGTGGGTACTCGTCATTTGAACGTGGCGATCTGAGAGGGGATTTCTCTGGGTAATTAGGTAGCTCCAAGTGTCAGCCCTCTTAAATCATCCGTGAAATTCAAAGCGGAAAAATCATCGTGCCTTAGGCCCATCCAAATAATCGCTTATTACTTGGGAATAGGATGTCAGCGTTAGGAATGTGAGGTTGTAATAACTTCAAGTGAAATACCGGTACTTAACATGTGTAAGTTCGAGGTGAGCTTTCGAATTGCCCGATGAGTTGAAAGCAAACCTAAATCCACCCATGGTGGTGTGCGCTCCCAAACATCAGCAAACTCCCGAAGTTGATTGAAATGATAGAAAGCAATTCACTCACTTCTATTTACATAATCATCATCTGTGTGATGAATCACCTCAAGCTATCATAAAAATTGTACTTTCCGTAATGGATTTCGATCATAGGTGATGGTGACCGTGCACGGGCCCTATTTTCAAGGGTCTTCTGTCGTGATGACAAGTGTGCTTTTAGTGGTGCGACAGAGCGATTCGAAAGTATCCAGAAGTCCGCTTCAAGTCATTGTCATTCATATCGGAATAGAACTCCCCTTCTGGGTTGAGCGTGCACCAACTTGTTTCCATGTGTCAGGGACCCCTTAGGCTACATCATTTCCCTCATCGCGATGCACTGGTGCCGCGGTGCCTATTGCCAGTACACAATTCCGCATTGCGGACACGGCTTTCGTCCGCTGATAACTGAACGAGCTCTGATTCTCCAATCCGTACCGAGTGTTATAAGTGCCAATCGACGCCCATTGCTCCTTCCAGCACTACTGCGTCACCGTCAAACCTCCGTCGTTCATTGACTTCCGCGCATATTCATCCTGATTGACAGGAATAGTTGTGGACGGCTCGAGGTTGTGATGGACTCCTCTCGCGACATACCGACTGTTTGGCAGTGCTGGTCTTAAGCGTCCCGCAGCGTGACATAGGAGGGATCATCCTCAAGCGGTCTTAGCGAGGGCGTCATGGGCAGTGCAATCGGGATGTGGAATGTTAGAATCCTTCTCCGACTTTCCTTCATCCGAATATCCATCAGAACTCAAGGCATGGCTCACAAACCGAGAGAGCGGCCGTTTGAAGCCGTCGTGGTCGTGGCCAATGAAGGTGATTTGCCGAAAGCAAAAAGAGTTTCCACAGCAAAGATGAACTGTTGGGGAAAATCGCGCTATCGTGATGAAGTCCGGGTACGAATCTTTATGCTAATGATAGGAGGGAAGTGTTTGAGTAAGGAAAAAGACAATCTCAAGGCTTACCTCAAGGTGGTGGCCAGGAATCTCAACATCGTCATACTTTAGATGCTGCAACTCAACGAGCCGAGAGGTCGGATCCACCGGAGGGCTTCGGGGTGGAATTCATAGCGGTCGCGCCAAATTTGTAAACGCTCGGCATTTGTTTGCTCTTAGTCAGGTCCTCCTCAAAAGATTGCTAGGCCCGGAGTTGTCGGCAAGCTAGCGGAAAGGGAATTTGATATATACCTTTGTTGCTAGGGGAAGACTGGCGACAAGCAGCCGGCATTGCCCCGTTCGGAGGGAATGCATGTGGTCGCGTGATAATTCAATATGGGGTAATAGGTGTGGTCAAACGGAGTTGGCACTGCCACCACCAAACGGACCAGCCCTCATGCAGGCCTTGCGCAGATGCGCCGTTTGGGTTACTAGGGGATGCTGCTTGGGGGAGATGACCCATGCCGACATACACGAGTTAGAACCAGGGGCTTGTTGTACGCACACCGATTATTTATATTGGAACCCTGACGTACATCAAATACAACGCGCGGCTCCGATTAAGGCATGCGCAATGTCCCGGAGCGCCACCTAGTCCCTGTACCATCTGCCAGACACCGCGAAGAAATCAAAGGCGAAAATGAAGGGAGAACGGGCTTGTGGTTGGTCCTGTAGGTGCAGCCATGCCACAGAGGAGACGGGGGCCGGGATAGTGGAGGATTCAGTTGAATAACATGTCAGCTCCATTATACAAAACTGCAGTGCAGATGGTGGGTTGAATGGCGCAGGAATGCACAAAACGGTGTAGATACAAACCTCTCCCCTAAAGTTTGTTTAAAAAATCAAATCTGATGGTTCGGATACAAATTTTGAAGGAAATTTTCCATTTCCACCTAAACGGTGAACGGCCCTAGAACAAGATACCAGCTCAGAATGCCCCCTCCCTTGGTGGATGCATCTGGCGATGCATCAAACGCGTCAATTATCATGTTATGGGCCAATTTTTCCAACAGCCTGACTTTGTTGACAACAGTGCCCTCTGTGAATGACTTTCTGAAGGCTATGGATGGCCCTTTTGCCCGTCTGAGGAGCCTGGTTGGACAACACACTTCCACGAAAGATATGCCACAGTTCCAACCCCTTGCCCCCCTTGAGGACGTTGTAAAGAACATTGTGCAAGAGCTATGGGGGCACACCTCCGTCAAGGCAGTCAGAGGTATTGGGAATATACTTGATGAAGCATCCGTGATAGACGACCTCAGCTTTGAAGGTGCATTATTTTCCTCACTGCTCAAACTGTTTAGAAGCTCTCAACACTGTGCAGTTTTCATGGAGACGTGTATGGCCGCATATGCCCAGAAAAGGGGGAAGTCCCCCAAGAAGTGATGAAGAAGTTCCACTCTCATAACGTGACTGATACAGGCCAAACCGCTTGGCAGACTGTCAGGAACGTGCCAGACGCGTATCTGGGTGACCCACAAAGCACGCGAGGTCATCCGGGCTTGTAAGGTCAGAGGGGTGGGACTTTAGCTTCAGCAACTCGGGTGGAGGGCTGCACTTCGTTCTTACGTTGGTGTCCCAATTTCAGACAGAAGCCTTACGATGAGGATAAGAGTTTAGAGGGGGAAACCAAGTCGATATATGAACTAAGGTACATCCGGTGTAACCTACACGCATTATAAACACAAGTAACTAAATGAGACCGGCCCGGAAGGAGTGGCGGATCAAGCACGATATTAATGAATGAAGAAAGGAACAAATAATCAATATCAGCAAACTTGGTCAACAAAAGGCAAGCAAGGAACAATAGGAGGAACAATAGTCCGCAAGCAGACAAAAGAGAAAAGGCCATCTGGCCATCTAGCAAGCCGTCCGGCTGGGGGTGGACAACAATGAAGCGGGCAACCTAGGTTGGTAGGTACGCGCGTGAGGGAGGAAGTGCGGATGAGGGTGACAGGTGGATAGATGGGTGGACGGATGATGATGATAGTGGGAGGGACAGACCAAGTGGCACTAGGGCGCATAGAGGGAAGTGACAGATATGTCAGGTCGTGACACAGACATGGCTTAAGCTTCACCGTAGGTTAACAATATGCTCACAGCTTATCTTAGAGACCAATCATTTCTCAGCGGGACTCGATAGCCAAGATGCAGCAAGCCTCCGCAAGTCAGAGCATCTGGAAATCGAGGAGAAGTATCCAGACAGGGCGGACGAAGTGAAAGCCTTTTATGACAAAGTTCTCGTGCATTATGGAGACATTATTTTGTCTAAGGACGAAAGAGAGACCCAACCTAATGAAAGTCTCCATCTGCTTCAGAAAATGACAGGAAAATATGCAGCACAGGTGAAGTAGATTAAGCGGAGCAGTTATAGAAATCAATCTAACTACATGTTGTCGTGATAGGTCTGCGCACTTAGTTCTGTTGGAATATGGGATGGAGTAACCTCCCTGGCATAACGGGCGAGTAGCGTATGGATGCACGCTAGAGGTCCTGGGTTCGATACCAGGCTTGTCCATTTTATGTCATTTGTCCAGTCACCTGGTTTACCTCATTTGGATATCAAGGAGTAAGTCCCGCAGGGCAACGTGAAATTTCTTCAAGTTCCACCCATCCCATTGGCGTCACTGTAGTGGGATTTGTAGCGGATGAGACTGTCCCCCCAGAACAGTCCACGGTAGCTTTCACCAGCTCACCAATTATGGCAGAAATGGTGAAGGCTATGGGTCTGCCACTCACCGAGGATGCAGCCCTTGCCATAAGGAATCTGTATGATGGCATAAAGGCTTTCAGGTATGCTGCGCAAGCACAGGAAAGTGCAGATAGCTTACTCGTAATTCTTTTAGCCCATACCAACCCGATATCAGCAAACAGAGGTATGAGCACCTTGTCCTCATGGTCCCCATCAGCTGAAATTACTGCAGAAGCTTCCTTCGTCATCTTCGTGCCTTCACGAACCTGGACAAGTCCAACAATGAGAAGTTTGGCACATCAGGCCTGATGAAGTCTGTTGTAGCAACTGCCAGGCAAAGTGTCCATTTCCATGATAGCCTGGACAAATACCTGATGGTGAAGACAGAGGCCATGGACGAAAACGACATCGATTATCATACACCGATATTGAAAAGGAAAGACAGCCTTGCCATGGCAGACAGACAAGTCATATGGCCCACATAGCTGATGCTGCACTGAGGCTGCTGCATGGCTTAAAACAATGATACGTACGTCCTACTTTGACAGAGCACTTCACATTGCCTATCTGATATCTGGTGTCAGAGGAGGCAACATGTGTAAGCGAGCTCGGGACCGACTGGAGGGTTGCAAACGTACTTCCATTCTTACTTGAGCATCATCTCCGTTTTGCCGGCTGGCATTGCGGCATCCGACGTTTGAACGAGTCACTCCCTTGTGATTGGACCCCATGTGAGTCTGCTCGGGGTATGATGCGGCTCTACCACTCCGACCCTGAACAGAAATTGAAAATCGAGACAATGACAGAAGGTAAGGGAATGTCAGTGAAGTTCCAAAGGGCACAGCTGATGGGTTACGACTCACCAGAGGAGTATGAGAAGCGTGAGGTGCTCCATTACGCACCTGATGCAAATGGGAGTGTTGGCAAATACATGCTACCCGAAAATGAGGCGAGGAGGGCAGTTGCCAAAGCTGCGCTCACCGTGGCATGACCTAGGAAACGCAAGGCAGACTTACCAGACTCACCGGAAGGGAATACAGTCGGAGACGGTAAGATAGAGTCTCCATCTCCCAAGTGAGTTAGGAAGAAGTCCAAAGCCACCCGCATGTGTGCTCCAGCAAAGGCCAAGCCTCCTCGCATGGTTCCTGGGAACAACAGTCAGGTGAATGAAGCTAGACTGCCACAGAATAAGGCGGCAGGACCACAGGGTGACGACGTGGTATCAGGGACACCGGATAATAACTCACCTGTATCCAGCAGGTCATTGTCACCAATACTCCCTTCAAAAATCAAGCCGCTCAACTTGTTGAAGCCGAAAGCCACTCACACACATGCTTTAGCAAAGGCCAAGCCCCCTCGCATGAGGCCCAGGAACAGCAGTCAGGTGGACAGAGCCAGACTGCCACAGAATGAGGTGACAAGAGCACAGGAGGATGAGGTGGTACCAGAGACAGTGTCACCAAGTAACAGCTCACCTTTATCAAGCAGGTCCTTATCACCGATACTCCCTTCAAAAATAGAGCCGCTCAACCTGCCCACGTTCTCACTGGAAGTACGCTCCAGATCCCAACCAGAACGCAAGCTGCAACTCACTGACATCCCACAAAATGATGTCTTCATGGAACGAACCAGCAAAACGGTTCCAGGATCGCATACCTCAATGGTTATCCCTCCTATTAGGTTGATTCATCCAACCCCCAACAGCACTCCAGCTAGAGGGCAATCGATGTCAGGATCGAATAATAATGGGATTATGTATCTCACTGTGAACGAAGGGCCAACACCCCAGGCACGCTCGGAGACACCATCTTCCACAACAAGCACAGGTGGTGAGCCTGCCACCTTTGACACCTTGTTCAAATGTGCACGACACTCGGTGTGGTGAGCTGCACTGAAAATTCTGCCAGTGGTTCGTTCGGAGGCGCTATTGAAAGAAAATGTCAAATGCTTGGTGGAGATCGACATCATTAAACTGCACATCGACAAGAAGGTACCACCTCCTGAAACCTTGGACACAGCTCAGCACTGGGAAATCGTTAGGGACGTTGGAGATGAGCTTCGTGGTAAAGGTGCCGATGTAGGAAGACTTACTGGGGACATGGCAAAATTGCTTGATACTGACGAAGTTAGTGACAAGAAAGATGAGGTTTTGAACATGTGGATCCAGATGTTGCCTGGTTGAAGGATAGCCCAACATTACGCTAATCGCTAAAAGCACGAATAGATATTATTTACGAGGGAGGTATTGCACAGGTCATTATTTAACTTATAGCCATGCAACTTGTAAGCTTGACAAATGTAAGATGGATACTGTAAATGTGAACACAAATACAGAGCGGTCCAAGTTACAGAGAGGGCGATACACCAGCCCAAGAGTCGCAATACGAGTTACCACATGCTGACGTCCGTATAAGTCTGTTTCACACTGCAGTAGATAAGAACATATGCTTTGCATAGTGAGAATCAAGAACAGGGTGCAGGTGCTACAAATGGTAGACCATGTATGAAACGTATGAACGGCGGCCACAACCCCCTCCTGCATAATGTTACACGTCTCTGTCAGGGATCAGCAATGACCCTGGACCCTATGCCGGCTGCATGTATGCGCATGGGAAGTATGCCGGTAATTCCTGTCTACTCTGCTTACCTAAGCCCCGGTGACCCGGATCATCTCCGGCATTGTTCTGGAACATTCTATGATCACGTGATTCTATCGGCAATCCATTTGGTTTCCTTATTGCCGGACTCTACATGTATATAGCTGACCCTAAGATGGGGACATCCCTTTCCCCCGGCTTTAATCACAACTAGGTTATCGGAGCATCTTGCACAAGCATGCACGTCCCCTGACAGTCTCTCCAACTACAACCCCCGTAGTTCCTCCGCGGTCAGCTTGTTTAGGGGAGCAGGTGGATTCTCTGCCACTTTGAGTGTAAAGAGGCCAGTTTTTGGCTGCCAACGAATGGACTCAAACTCCTCTTGAGACGGGTTCCCTGACCTCTTCAGCATCTCGTTTGTTCATAGTTCGATGCCTCAAAAAGTTGCCTTGCAGAACCGGCAATGAAATGAATGACACCAGGATAGATAGAACCCTCTGAGGGGTAGATTCGTTGACAGAATGCGCATTTGAAGCGGTGAAGGCGACAAAGGATAAGGCAGAAATGAAGGAGAGCAAAACGTTCCTCTTCGCTTAACTCAAAGGGCCTGCGCAGGCACATCTTTTCGAGCACGTCTTGTTTGAAGGTCACTTCAACCACTTTGAACGGTAAACATCCTTGGCTGGACGTTGTCATCATAATCCGGAAGCGATTGTATTCAAAGAGGTCTTGGGAATACATCCGGGTCCACAGCTCTGTTGTCTCAGTTGGCAAGGTGTCTGGGCCTTGAGGGATTAGCGGGGCGGGTACACGGTCCAAGAGAGTCTGGATCATGGTTTGGTTGAGCCTGCGAGAAAAGACCTCACCAACAAATCCAAGCTCATATACCTGTCAGGGCACACCCGCCTGACCCGGCTCCACCCGGCCCAACCTGACCCGGTACCCCACCAGTCCACCCTCCCTTACCTCCTCCCCCTTTCCCTTCTTCCCCCTCATCCTCCCCTCCTCAGTTTCTCCTTATCTTACTTCTTCTTTATTCTCCCTTTATTCTACATGGACGACTTTCTCTGTATCAATGTACAATTGACACATCTGCAGCGCGCCCACCATGCACCCGGCCCGGGCACCTCGGGCGACCTCCTGCTGTGCCCAGCATGCGCGCCTGCACCGGATACCCTCGGGATCTCCCACGGAGACACCCGGATGGTTACGGCTGTGTGCGAGGGTGACGTGGCACCCGTCATGTGATCCAAGCCGCATGTATATAAACGAACCTGAAGTGGGAACCGAAGAAGTAGCCTTCTTCTCAATCTTCCACTTCAGGTAAGCAGTACAATACCTCTCCTTTAATGATAATAACAATCTTCCACTTCAGTCTAAGTGGCCAGGGACCACTGTCCCACATCGGGCCTGTCAGTACGCACGCCCGATCCGCCCCCCGCCAGGCTCTCGGTCCCGGACGAGTCCCTGACAATACCCCAATGTATCCACTGGGTTTATAGTCATGCATGGCAATATCTCTGATAGTCGCACCTGGGAATCTTGCTTGGAGGCATCACCTGAGACTGTGAGCACTGTCTTGTGTCTTGCAGAGTAGGTTGAGGCAGTGTGTCGACCCATCCCAGCCGTCCACTTTCTGATTCACTGTTGGGGCACAGACTTCACGATAGGCAAGAACCCCCCACTGCTTCACTGCATCCAGATCACCGTGTAGCTCCAGTACCGGGCCTGAGAGGTGTATGGATATACCTAGCCAAGTGTCGGTGGTGGCAGGGCCAGTGGCAGATGACAAGGGAACACTGATAACAGGCACCGTTTGGATGGATGATGGAAGGGGGTGTTGAGGGTGATAGTACGAGAAAGGGATTTTGACAAATGCTGCCATGAGTGGAGTGTGTGCACCAATGGGGAATGGGATTCTCATGTTCTTCCATTTCCTGCCTTCCAAGGCTGTACTACGATGCAGACCCTCTTCATATTTCAACCCAAGCCAGACTCCCTGAAGGATGTTCTTCATCATGCTGGAGAAGCGTTCGAAGGAAGTAGGATCTCCATTGGGGGCAAGTGCTTGGAGGCATTGCTCCATGACAAAGTGCTGGGCAGAGTGATCGTCATTCAGGGCCGCAAACAAGAATTGCTGTGGGTGGGTACGTGTAGTGGTTGCCATAACAACAAAGTCAAATCCTACAATGATGTCCCCCTTCACAGCGCCTTTTGGATCCTTGGACTCAGCACGGTTCCGTATCTCCCATGGAAGAGCAAGCTCTGCCACCTGGTCAAGTAAAGGTGGACATGACTGAGACACTGCACAGCGTTTCTCACCATACTCCACCCTCCAATGGGGAACCCCCCACCTTTCCAGAGTGAGGGCGAAGGCCAAGGCAGAGGCACTAAGGGTGGGGTCATGGACCTCAGCGTGAATGCCCTCCAAGGCATCAAAGATGGCCCCAAGGACTAACTCTTGAACTGGCCATGTTGGAAGTTCCACACCACCCAATATGGCACATGCATCAAGAGAAATGAGGTAGCAATAGTGAAGATGCCCTTGTAGCTCTCCAATCCAGCGTTCAATCTCGATAACAGTGTCATGATGGTAGTTTTCAGATTCCGCAATCATCCGGGAGTGGAACAGCTTGTCAAGGTAGACTTCTGACTCGTGCTTGAGTATAGCCATAATTTCACGGTGAGAGGGAAGGATTTCTGCATGGCAGAGATGGGAGACTATGTCTTGAATGTGGCAAAGAAGTTGCTTTACCGTGGACTGCGTGCCAATGATCTTCTCCCTCCACTCAGATGTTGGAAGCCACTTCAGACCGATGTACTGGGAAGGGGCGATGACGCTCAATGAGCACAAGGTGTGGGCGGAGTGGATCGTAGCTAACCAGTCGCTGGGAAGTGTCCATGAACTCGCAGTATTTTGGAGAGATGTTCAAGAGACTCGTCTTTGCCGAAGGTGCGGCATGCACCCAGGAGGCGTATGATCCATTGTAGGGGCAAATATGAGAAGTATTCGTCCCCACAATGCGGATCGGTGTCTGACGATAAGCTCGGTTGACAGTGCCTTCTAAGATATCGTCTCCAGATTAGACGGATGTTAGAATGGGTGGATTCGGACGACTCCGGAATGGAATCGGAGACTTAGCGTGGAAGGACCTCGGCCTCAGCGACTCAGGTGGAGTGCTGTGCCATTGCTGGTTGTCCTAGGGGTCCCTAATTTCGGATCTAGCAGAGGGAAAGTCTCTTGGGGGGAATTCATGTCGATTTCGGACTGAGGTTACAAGTTACTATGTACATTGTATATAAGGAGGGGTCCGGAATCAAAAGGAGCGAGGGTACTCCGAAAGGAGACAAAGGGAGCTGGAAAGAGGAACAACACCGAGGGTCAAGGGTTTGA